GCGTGAGAGGGAAAGGGACCAGCGAAGGGATAAGGAGAAAGAGAGGGACCGAAAAAGAGATAAAGAGGGAGACACGGAAAAGGAGATCTCTAGAGGTAGAGATAAAGAGAGGGAGAAAGAAAAGAGCAGAGATCGGGACAGAGACAGGGAAAGGGATAAGGAGAGGGAGAGAGATCGGGTAAAAGACAAGGAGAGGGAAAAAGAGAGAGATAAACATAAAGATAGAGAAAAGGAGAGGGATACTGAGAAGGAAAAAGAAAAGGAGAAATCAAAAGAGAAAACTAAGGAGAAAGAGAAGGAAGCATCCAAAGATAAGGATAGATCAAGAGTGAAGGAGAGAGCGAGTAAGAAAAGCCATGAAGATGATGATGAGATGGAAAAAACTGCAGAAAGATATGAGCATTATGACAACAGAGGTCCGAATGAAGGTGAGGATAATGCTGATGCTGCATCAAGTGGGAAAGAAGTTTCTGCGTCGGAACTAGAGAATCGCATTATGAAGTAAGTGATATTTTCTTTGTGCTATTAACTATTCAATCATAGAGTTTCTTAATTTAAGTATTTCCATATTTTATGCCCTTCACGTGATTTGGTAGGTTGGTTTTCTTGGCATTCTCTTTGTCTTCTGCTCTTTTTGTTTTAATTGTGTTTTCTTCCTTAGGATGAGAGAGGAAAGAAAGAAGAAAGTTGAAGAGGCTTCTGATGCTTTATCATGGGTTGCAAGGAGCCGTAAGATTGAGGAAAAAAGAAATGCTGAGAAGCAAAGAGCTCATCAGCTCTCTAGAATTTTTGAGGAGCAGGTGTTTCCGCCGTTCCTTAGACATATGTGTTTCCTTCTAATTCTCCGTAGTTTCCATTAATTTACATTTTAATAATCTACTTTATGCTTTGTTTGTTCAGGACAATCTTAATCAAGGTGAAAATGAAGATGCCGAGGATGGCAGTAAGTTTTCCTTTGCTCAAAGTTATAAAATGTATATTTAAATGGCTTGCGAATTTACTGTAGGATGAGAGAGATTTATAGGTTTTACAGTTATTTTACACCTAATTACCTGATTATACGTAGGAATTAATCATTTAACCTATAATTTTTGCCTGAAAGGTACCATGAAATAATTCAAGTATTCAGTGACACAACAGAATCTATCCTCTTTCTTCCTTTATAAATCAATTTTCTTTGTGTGATGCATCCTGGTTGATAATTATCTTCATATATTTTGGTTTACAGATCATCTATCTGGAGTTAAAGTTCTACATGGTTTGGAGAAAGTGGTTGAAGGCGGAGCAGTTATCTTGACACTAAAAGACCAGAATGTCATTGCTGATGGAGACATTAACAATGGTTAGTATCTTCTTATGCTCTCTTACATTTATGTAACTGACATGGATGATGTGAGGGTCATAAACGAGGTTTGCAACTATTCTGGCAGAGATTGACATGCTGGAAAATGTGGAAATTGGAGAACAGAAGCGTCGGAGCGAAGCTTACGAAGCAGCCAAGAAGAAAAAGGGGATTTATGATGATAAGTAAGTTGAGGATATTTTCAATGGCAATTAGATGAACATATATGTGTTGCTTAAGTTTGACACATGGCAATGGTATTGAATTTTTTAGGTTTAATGACGATCCTGGGGCAGAAAAGAAGATGCTTGCGCAGTATGATGAGCCCGCTAAGGATGAGGTAAGTTACTCTAGCTTGCGGATCTTTTTAATACTAGAATTGTAGGCAGTCTAACGTTGTTGCTTTTGTCTTTAGGGGATATTTTTGGATGCAAAGGGTCGCTTTACAGGTGAAGCAGAGAAGAAGTTAGAGGAGGTACTTTTCTTCTTTACATTTTTTAATGATCAATGGATCGTAGTAAGTAAGGGCTAATGTAATTCATTGTTCTATATGTTCTACCAATCAGCTGCGCAAGAGAATTCAGGGTCAGACAACAAATACTTTTGAAGACCTTAACTCATCAGCAAAGGTCTCATCAGATTACTTCTCACATGAGGAAATGCTACGGTTCAAAAAACCTAAGAAGAAGAAATCATTGCGGAAAAAGGATAAATTGGACTTAAGTGTGCTTGAAGCAGAAGCTGTTGCATCAGGATTGGGAGCTGAGGATCTTGGTTCTCGCAAAGACGGCAAAAGGCAAGCCATGAAAGAAGAAAAAGAAAGGTCCGAGAATGAAAAACGGAGCAATGCTTATCAGGCAGCCATTGCTAAAGCTGATGAGGCATCCAGGATACTCAGAATGGAACAATTTCAGCCTATTCAAAGAGAAGAAGATGAGAGTACGGTGTTGGCTGATGATGCTGAAGATCTTTATAAGTCGTTAGAGAGAGCTAGGAAGTTAGCTTTCACTAAGAAAGAGGAAGCTGTATCTGGTCCTCAGGCAGTAACACATCTTGTGGCTTCTAGCACCAATCAAACAACAGATGATAATAGCGCCAGTGAGGCTGAAGAAACACAAGAAAATACAGTTGTTTTCACAGAGATGGAAGGATTTGTCTGGGGTCTCCAGCGCAATGAAGGTAAAAGTTTAATTCTTCTGACGTATTTATACTGTTATCTATTGTTTTGCCTCTACTATATTGATTTGCTATAGCACTTTTATCGTTATTTGGAACATTTACTTGTTGTCGTATGCAGACAAATTCTCTCAAGGCATGAGATTCGAGTTATCTGCAGATAGTTTGTGGCCGATTTAATCAATTTCACTACCTGCTGATCTCCTTTTTTCCTAAACAGATGTATGATTTTGTTGTTAAAAGTGGTATGGAGTTTTTGATCTGTTGATTTGGTCTTTCAGGTGTGGGGAAGTCTGAAAGCGAAGATGTTTTCATGGATGAAGATGAAGCACCCAAAGCTCCTGTAGAAGTTAAAGAAGAGCAACCTGATGGTTGGACAGAAGTAAAAGACACTGATATGGATGCAGCAGAGCTTTCATCTGACACCAAAGAGGTAACTCCTGATGAAACTATACACGAGGTTGCGGTTGGAAAAGGATTATCTGGTGCATTGAAGCTTCTCAAAGACCGAGGAACCCTAAAGGAGAAGGTTGAATGGGGTGGTAGAAATATGGACAAAAAAAAGAGCAAGCTTGTGGGTATTGTGGATGATGATGGAGGTAAAGAGAGATTCAAGGATATCAGGATTGAGAGGACTGACGAGTTTGGTAGAACTGTAAGTTTTCTTAGCTTTTGCTTTCACAGTTTTATTAAACCCGTCCTTATGTGTTATGTATTGTAAAATGATTGTTCTTCAACTCTCCAATGTTAACAGTTGACTCCAAAAGAAGCTTTTCGATTACTCTCTCACAAATTCCACGGGAAGGGGCCTGGGAAAATGAAGGAAGAGAAGCGGATGAAACAGTACCAAGAGGAGCTCAAGTTAAAGCAAATGAAAAACTCAGACACACCGTCACATTCTGTTCAAAGAATGAGAGAAGCTCAAGCTCAATTGAAAACTCCTTACCTTGTCCTCAGTGGCAATGTCAAACCAGGGTATATATGCTTCATTTCTCGTTTGTTTTAGTTTTTTTTTTTTTCCGATCTGTAGGTATCAAGGCAACATTTAGTTTCTTTGAACTAACACACGCCTTTTTGCAGACAAACTAGTGATCCTCACAGCGGTTTTGCGACTGTTGAGAAGGATGTTCCAGGAAGCTTAACACCAATGCTTGGTGACAAAAAGGTTACAGAATCTTTATAATAAAAAATACAGTTGTCGCTCTAACAACTAGTTAATCCAGGAAGGATTAGAGTTTGATCTTTGCATTGAAACGTTTCAGGTGGAGCATTTCTTGGGAATAAAGCGGAAAATGGAGCCTGGAAACTCGAATACACCATCAAAGAGACCAAAGCCTTGATTGAAGGACACTTTTAAACAATCTATAGCGTCGTCTTTGCTTCACATCGATTTGTCTCTGGTAAACTCTTTTTAAGGATTCTGGTTACGCCTCTGATCTTTTGTTACAATCTTTAGAAGAAGACACATACCTCAATATATGTGGTTCATGCCGAGACTGATGAATGAAATGTGACTATTATGTTGAAGTAAGCGAAATCGGCGTCCGTTTTGCTTGTAGTAAAAATTCTCTTTCGTAGGAAATCATAATTCAAGATATTTTTGAGTTTGGCTTCTTTTTTTTTTGGTTTAGAAGAAATTGAATCGAATTATACATTCAACCATTATCTTTTTGAGAATAATCCTTCGTACCTTTCTTGTTATAATCTTAAATCGTTAGTATTATTAGCACAAGTTTCTCCTTATATTCCCTCTTTGTCACGCAATCCAAAATTGAAATGTACTTTGAGTGATTAATTTTGAATTTAAATTAAGAAATTCAGCTTCCTTTGACAAAAAAGTATGAAACTTTTTTACGCTTTTCTACTTGAGATTTTCCTTTGCCTTAAACCGTATATAACAATTAGAAAGAAAAATATATTTTCCAAAAAGAATGTTGCCATTAACATTCTAACAAATCATAATATTA